AAGCCTTTCTCGCCCACAAGCCAAATCTAACACCCTCTTTCGAAAAGGTTACTTGTCATACGTTACACGAGGTTTAGGATTTTGGAGCGACAGAGTCGCAAACTTCCGAACCCAACACTGTGTAGCAGATATTACATGATACGGATATGTAGTACAATAATCCGGTTAGTGACCATTCGTTGCATCTAATGCTAAATTCAATGTATTTTTGTCATAGGCAGAAGTTCGTCTAATTGCTAATAAATTCAAATTTTAATTTTACACTATTTATACAGTTTAGAGAACTTTTTAAAAAAACGAAAACAACCATAATATATTAAAAAAAAGCATTTAGAAGGTTTCATTAGAACTGTAAGACTTCATAGTCAAAAATAAGATCTAATTCTTGTCCGTTTAAAAAGTTAGTATAATAATAACTTCTCAAAACCTGATAAAATCAGCCTATTATATTACTAAGCTAATTTTTTTAAACGGACAAGAATTAGACCTTATTTTTGACTATAGAGTCCTACAGCTCTAATGAAACCTTCTACATTGTTTTTTTTTTACTTTACTATTGTCGATTTACGTTTTTTTTTTTTTTTAAAAAAAGGACTCTAAACTGTATAAATAATGTAAAATTAAATTGAATTTACTAGCCAATCAGACGAACTTCTGCCTATGATTTTTTACATGTTTTAAAACATCGTTACTGATATTGATATTATGATTAATAATAATTATATGGTTATGATCATTATTATAAATCTGAATTTTCTGACTTTTTTGACATTTGTAATAGCATATTTCGAGTAAGAAATAAAAAATTCATGGTGATATGGAAGTTGAAATTAACCAATTATATACAGTAATTTCAGCAACACCATAATCAATAATGTTTAAAACATTTTATAAATCAAGTTAAAAACATAAAAAATTATCAAACCCCGATTTTTTTTATCATCACTACATTTCTGTAAACAATACATAATTGTGCCATAACCTATAATTAACTAATTAAAATGCCACAAAGTTCGAGGTTTTGAAATTGCAGTTATAACACATGAAATTCGTTGGGCGAAATGAAAATAATCTGTTGAGTATACTCACATATAGAGATGGGACACTGCACAGGCAGAATTTTACGGAAGCCCAGAATTATTCGGAATGTCCCATAATTTAACAATTTTGGCCCACATTAGCCGTAATGCAGGCCCGTGCAGGCTGCGCAGTAGATTCGAAAAATCCTCGATTTTCCCATCTCTACTCACATAATGCATAAAGAGAAATCACTTTTTTTTTTTTTTTTTTTTTTTTTGATTTTAACCTAGCGAGTCCTAGGGCGCCGGTAGTGCACTTTATTTAGTTTTAGTTGTATATATATGTTATTTATATGTTATATTAAGTATTTACACAGTGTTGTATTAAGTTTGAAAGCTCCCTTCCTGTTATCACCTTTATTACATATGTATTTCAAGGTTTTAACTGCCTGATTAAACCTATGTCTAATAACTGCCTCCAATGCGGGAGCGGGTATGGAACTGCCCTATTTGGATTGTGTGCACCAATACCAAATCTCTGAAATTACACTAATGTTTAACCAGTTTCTTAGTTGGGTATCACCTGGGTATTGGTCAGCAAACATTTCATCAAGGTCATCTGGAATTTTTATATTGGCTGAAGGGATAACCAGGTCTAATGCCAATTTCTAAATCTTTTTGCTTGTTTCACACTTGAGAGCGAAATGATCAATAGTTTGGATTTCGTCAAGCAACTTGGACATTTCCCTGATTCCTGAGGGTTCATATGTTTTAGTCTAAAACCCAATGGGAGAGCTTTATGCTGCAAATGCCAATATATATCTTTTTTGCTGTTAGGGATCCATTTTGTTTTCATCCATTTTCAAATATTTTCTGATGCGTAATCTTCTGTACGGGCTTGGTTCTTTGTGTTTTGTAATGCACTTTCTTTTAAGAATTTAATTGTATTTTTGATCGAGAACTTCTTACCAGATTCATTTGCTATTGTAATACCATCTTTACTCCATGGCCAGTTCTTTGCATTGTCTCCTACCTTGCCCCTTGCACATCTCCAGGCCTTTATATAAGGTTTCCATTGTTCTGGCCAACCTTTGGTTTTAATAGTGCCGTTGTTGAGCACATCTTTAACTGTAATGCCTCTGTTATTATTTATCGCTTCTTCAGATATTAATCTTTCTGCTCTAGCCTATAGACTATTTTCTGTTAAGAGCTTTATCCATATATATAATAATCGCGCATCTATCATATCAGGTAAATTTGAGGCATTAAGACCTCCTTGTATCAATGAACATTGAAATATCTTATATTTTGAAAGTATTTTAGATTTTGACTTAATCCATTTTTCTAGCATGTTATTAAGTATAGCAAGTTGTTTACGAGTTAGTGGAGCTATGTAGGCATCATACCAAATCTTTGAAATTATTAAGGATTTTGTCAATAAAATTTTTCCTACAAAAGAAAGGTTCCGTTGTGTTAGCTTCTTTATTTGCTTCTGAAGTTTAAATATAATATCTTTCCAAAAATGTTGGACAATTGCACCCTTTGACGTTATTTTATAACCTAGTACAGTCACTGTTTCATTCTCATCTAAGTAGTGAAAGCTGCCTCCATTTTCTAACTCAGCCCTTTTAGCATTTGTTGTGAGTGGCACTATGATCGATTTGGTAGTATTGATTTTGGCATTAGAAGCCTCTTCATACTTCTTAATTATCGATTGAAGTAGGTTCCAATCAGAAGGTGAACTAATTCCAACTGTCAAATCATCAGCATAAGCAGCAGCTTTGAAATAAATATTCGCTACTGGTATTCCTTGAAGTTTATTTATGATTTTTTGTAAAAGAGATTCAAAGGCAATTACATAAAGGAGTAGTGAGAGGGGGTCCCCTTGTCTTACCCCTCTTCCTACTCTGAACGGTTCTGAAAGCATGTCATTGTCCATTATATGTGCTGTTTGATTAGAGAGTATATTTTTAATAAGCTTAATGAAAGCGGGTGCAAAGTGAAACTTTGTAAGAACTTCTAGCAAGTATGTGTGGTTGACTCTATCAAATGCTTTTTGTTGGTTGATAAAAAGCATCCAATGTTGTCTATAAGAGTCAGCTTGGTTTCTCATTACTGTTATAATGTCCAAAGCAGCATCTATAATTGATTGATTCGCAATAAAACCATGCTGATGTGTTCCTAAGACCTTTTGGCATATTTTATTTACCCTGTCAGCTATAATTTTTAGGAAGATTTTTGCATCATAATTTGTTAAAGAAATAGGATGCCAATTACTGATCTCCTCCAGTACCGTGTCTCTTTTTGGAATTAGAATAATGATACTTTTACACCAAGATTTTGGAGTCTTACCCTCCATTAATACTGCATTAAAAAGTTTTTTAAGTACTGAAATGACAGTTCCCTTCATCTCTTTATAAAATTCATATAATAAACCATCAGGGCCAGGTGTTTTGTTATTAGGAAGAGAATTAATAATATTTTCTATTTCTTCAACTGTTATTTCTTTTACTAGGTTGTTATTTTGTTTTGTAGACACTGATGGAAGAGTTGAAGTAATCTCTGATAATGTATTTCTATTTATCTCTTCTGCTTTGTACAGTTGTTCGAATGTTCTTTTTGCATATTCCAAAATGTCTGTAGGAGATACATTTAAAGTTGTACTTGATAGATGCACTTTCATTGTGAAACTACAATTATGACGGGTCTTGTATCTAGCAAAAAAATATTTAGTTGACCGTTCACCTTCCTCTATCCAGCGTGCTCCTGACCGAATATGCCATTTTTCTGCAAGAGCAGTGAACTCCTCTTCTAGATTGAACTGAAGTTTCCCGATTTTAGCACTTAATTCCTCTTTTTCTGACTGTTGTGCTATTTTTTCTTTTAATTTTGTCAATGTTCTTTGAATTCTGCATATTTTCTTTTCAGAAGCTGAAGGCGGTTTGTGTTGGCGAATTATTGCATGAATTCTACTTTTCCTCAGATCCCAATTATCTATCTTTATCTGTTCTTGTAGTTCGTCCTCAATACCTTTCTTAATATTTTCATTTATTAAGCACCTCTTATTGAATTTCCAGAAAGCACTACTACCTATTACTGGCTGAAGATTGAATGTGCTTTTAACCATTAGATGATCTGAGTTTCCGAACAAGGTTTGTGTATTTTGACAGAACTGAATATGATCACTATCTACAAATATGTAGTTGAGTCTAGTGGTCATAATCTGATTATTTCTTGTTTTCTGAGTATAAGTGGTGAAAGGTTTGTCCATATCATTAGCAGTATCAACAAAATTCTCCATATGTCTCATCAATTTGTCTAAAGATGGGTCACTATGTATAGGAGCTTGGCTGCACCTATTTTTATATAGATCAGTGTTAATATTAAAATCGCCTGCAATTATATTCATCATACTTTTATCATAGTCTGGGGACCAACTATCAAAAAATTCTATTCTTTCTGACATATGTGGTGGTGCATATATGTTTGTTATTTTGTATGTATAAGATTTGGTTTTAATGATCCCTGTAATTACTCTTCCCCTATAGCTTTTTTTTATGTCTTTTAGTTCAATATTTCGATTCTCTGCTAGTATCGCTGTTTTTGTAGTCTAATATGATTCATGCGGCCATTGCTGTTTGATGAAATTTCTATTTTCCATGTTACTTAAATTTGTTTCCTGTATCACAATTACATCTAACTTATAAGACTTTAATAAATTAAATGTTTTCTAAGGTAGCTATAGTAAAGATATTTTTGCTCATATTTATGTACTATCGATCTATGAGATTGTTAATTATTACTATCACCTTTCAACGTATGCTAAGTATTCTTATTTCACTCCTTCTTATATGGATTGGACCTAATATTGTGTAAATTAACTGCTGATGGTGCTTTTATTTTTTTCTTTTTATGTGCTACTAATTTAAATCCTTCTTCAGATGTAATGTACTTTCCCTGAACTCCTTCGTGGTCATTGCAACAAGCTTCTATCATCTCCTGATCTTCCACTTGTGTATATTGATTTATTCTATTTTCTTGCATTTGCATTTCCTGGATCTTCTCATAACTTGGTTTTCTAGGTGCAGTTTCCTCTACGGTCTCCTCCTCTATAACTACTGAGGTTATGTTACTGGGTATTTCAGAGATTAATTTCTGAGTTTCCTTCATATTATTCAACTCTTGGTGTAGATGATTATCTGTATCCATAGATGACTCAAGTATAAATTTTTCATTTTTTGAAGAATTTTGCTTCAGTTTATATTCTCTGTATCGTTTCCTTAATTCTACAGCCTCTTTAAATTGTGGACAGTCCTTCTTTATATGTCCTTCGAGATCACAGTAAAAGCACAGTTTGGGTGCTGCTCTCCATTCGATCATAGCTTTCTGGTCCCAAATATGTGTATGTCAGGGTAACCTTTTTGTAATGGATGGATCATTTGTAGTATCATATACTACTATTCATTGATTAGATAAAATTGGGGTTCCTTCGTATACAAGGGGTTTGATTGATATAATAGTACCAAAGTCCTCCATGGCTTCTTTGATATGTCTAGAAATAGTTTCCTTCTCTCCCATTGGAACATTACGTAATTTTACTGAAAGGTTTGTTCTTCGCAGATTAGTAGGGGTATAACCCAAGAGAGTCTTTTTAAAAATGACAATCCCTTCTGCGGCATATTCTTGTAAAGTTTTTTCATCCCTAAAAACTATTTCCAGTTCTGTTCTTTGTCCTCTGAAGAAATGTGGTTTTGCTGCAAGTATTTTGTCTCCTATCACATTATATAGTGCGATTATGATTTCATTCAACGGGATGTTAATTAAACTTCTAATATCCAGTATTAAGGTGTTATCATTTTTAGTTTGAATTTTTTTCCCGGAGGTATCCATCACATAGGTAGCTTTCCCTTTATGCATTCTAGTAAAAAGGTCAGACCATTGCCTTGTGGGTGCCTGCTTTTCCAGAGACTTGTTTCCTTCTCCATCCTCTTTTTGGAGAGATTCTAAGTCTGCTTCTGAAGATGTTTCACAGTCACCTGAATCAGTTTCATTTATTAGTTGATCCAACTTCACTTCAGAACTTTCCAATTGTGTAACTATAGAATTTTCCGTATCCTCGCTTGCTATGAGAGTCGTGTTCTGAGTTGTGTTTAGTTGAGCTAATCTCTTTTTATACATGACTTCTACATCCTCTGCCCAATTATTATTGCATCTTGTTGCATCATTTAAGGTCTCTTTCAAACAGCTATCAGAAACCTTCGCCTTTTCTTGGTTGATCGTAGGATTCGGGTCCTCATTTTCTGAACCTCTAGTTGCAGATCTAGTATTATGTATTTTTGCATGTTTTGCTTCATTCTTTTCTCTTTTTGTACTTGTCATCTTTCGTTTCTTCGGCACAAGGGTGCAGACCCCTGTTCTGGTCGTTATATCAAATGTAGTCGCTTCCTTTTGCAAAGTCCCGATAATTTTCCAGGCACCCGGCACTGATACGCTGCAGAGAGTCTGAAGATCCCAGAAATCACTTTCAATGAAAGATACCTGTGAAGCCTCAGGCAAAGGCATTAAGAAAGTATGGCCGAGGTTCATTTAGTCATTCATACCATACAAAAAACTATTTAAATGGCATAACAGTGAGAATGGTTAGTCACGATTTTTATTTGAGGAAAAGGAGCGCACAAGGATAACTATAATCAACTTATTACAAGGCGATATTTTTTGTAATAGATTTTTATTATTACATTTTCTTGCGTAATACATTTATTAGGAATAGCGATTGCTATACAATTACATAAATGCTTTCTTACTAATTGGAGGGTTAATAGAACTATATAAAGGGTCATCGATCGATAGTTCTTTTTTGGAGAATTTCTAAAAGTTATATTCTTTTCGCTAATGTTGAAAATTAAAAATTTTAGATTCTTTACGTTATTAATATTAACAGTTTAAGAAATTAAATTTTCTATGTGGAATGATAAATAAATAAAAGGTTCTACAGAGAAATGCGTACATATGTACATTAAATAATTTCATATTAAAAATCCCGCGCGGGATCCCGCGCGTTGCCCATCACTAGTTACGATCCAATAGCTAAATTGGTATCGAAATATTAGTCACTCTTTTGTTCGTGACACCTTACACTATATGTTTTATGTTCTACTGTTCAATATCCCCCGTAGTAAAAATGAATAATAATTACAGTATGATTCATAAATCACAAAGCTTTACAATGTATTACAAGTACTAATAGACATTGAGTACTAATAGACATTGACAATTGGATTTTTTGATTTTGTGCAATGGGTTTTACATTTATATCTATATTAAGAGTCCGCGCTCTTCTGATCTTTTCAGTGGTGCTTTTTTTATACTATAAGCTACAAAAAGCACACATTTACTGTAGAGGCTAACTGAAGAGCAAAGATTCCTTTCTTTGAAACTGAAAGCAAAGATTGTTTTCTTTGTAACTTCATGAATTTTTAAAAATCGGTGTTTATGCATTTTTCACATGCATATTGATATAAGCCTGAATAAACATCAATTCTATTATTCATATGGGATGAGCAATAAAATAAATTTTATTAAAAAAACTTTTGTTATTAAAAATAATTTGCTTGCTTCTATTCACATTTGAACTTACTATAATCAATACTTTGATACTAGATATAATATGTGAAAAATAATCATAGTATATTTAACTATTACAGACTTTAACGTTAACCCTGACAACAAGCATATAAAATATACGTTTAGAGATCAATGTACTTCATATTACAATGCAAAAATGCCATCGTATCCATTAAAACCTTATCGCCTTCATAAACTTTTAGAACTTTTTTAATTTCTTTTAAGGGAACATCATTATCATCTAACCCTAGTAAAGGTAAATATTTTATTGCAAGAGTAGCTAGCCCAGGGAACCTATGTTTTGAATTTTGCCACCATTTACACGTGTCATCGTTTTCATTGCAGACAAATTGTGGAAGGTTACTATAACTATCCAATTCATAATTTACTAAGTATTGTATTGATTCATTCGATTTATTGCCAAAAGAATTATCAATGTTTGAATAATAGTCTTGTAATTCATCTAGCACAAGCTTTTTAACCTCTGCCTAATATATTATACGAAACGTATTAATATTAATTAAATCTTTGATTTCAACAATGTCAAATTTAAATAAACTTACATCATTAGTGAAAATTGATTTCGAATATGGATCTAAAAATATACCTACTCTTTGATGGAGATTCAGATATGAATAAATTAAAAATCTTAGAAACGATATGAGGACCATGCCTTCAAAATAGATCAGATAACTTATTTGCGCCGACGAAGTCTCGTTCAAAATATTAAATGCATTGAGTAACAAATTCCTAATATTTCTCATGGTAACAACTTTGACATGTTCCAAAGGTTTAAACAATTGTAATAATTTGGTAAACATACTAAATGGTAATTTATCTAATAAAAGGTCTTTAAACTGATCTATTCTTTCTCTAATAAAATTATCGTTATTACTATGATTATTAATTAATAGCTTGAAAGGCTTCTCCATTAATGTAAGAAACTCTATTTTATGATAATAGCACTTACAACTAATTTTTTTCATATTTTGGATATGATTCATTGTTCTTAGAGTCCTTTCATCATTTAAAAACTCTACTACTGAACAAAGGCATTGAGTAGCATTGAAAATAGCAGTGATAATATCAGAGATTTCTTGAACATTGGTATTTTTTTCTGCCCATCTGTTAAACTACGCCTTATAAAATCATCACCACTACCCCCGTTTATGCATGTAATCATACTATCACTTTTTATCGCATCGAGCGCCTCATCAAAATTAAAATTAATATAAAAAAATTTAAAACAAGCCAAATGTTCTGGAATGTAGCTAATAAATTTCAAATTAGTTAATTCCCACTTAACAAAATCCTCAATAGGTGCAAGATCATCAAGAAAGTAATCATAAATATGCATATGCATAAAGATTTTATGAAATACAAAGTCCTCAGTTAACCAATTACAAGCGGTTATAATATAAGCATCTTCATAAATATCTTCATCATTAATAAAAACCACGCTAATTGAAAGCATAGCAGACTTTGCTTGTTGAACTTTTGACTTCAATTGAGAGAATAAGTAATTATATACTTGAGATATTTGATTTGCTATAATGCTAGGAGTAATTTGTGAGTGAACAAGTCCAGAAGACTTTAAATTGTCAACAATATCAAAAGGCAATATGGAGGAAGCAATAAATTTAATTACTGGTAGATAAATTTCAAAGTTTCTAAAGCTATTGTTTATTAGGGATGACTGAATAGCTGTTGTGGATGGTATACTATGTTTAGTCTTAAGATGTTTAACAAGGTTAGAAGTGGATCCGCTCCATGTGTATTTCTTATTACATCCATCAATAGTACATTTTGTTATGTCTCCACGTTTTGGAACTTTAAATGGATTAAAATATCTCCAACAGATGCTCCTTTTGTCATTATTATCAGAGTGTTGGCGTGATTGTTGAGCTCCACTACTTTCAGTAATTAGGTTATTTTCATCTTCAGAATCAGAAGTTTGAGCTAAAACTCGTTTAATACCACGTCCAGTCATTATAAGAAGGTACACAAGTCTAATAAATAATAAAAACATATTATTGTTATTTATTTTTGAATAATGAAAACATTTTTATTGTTATTAATTTTTTGTTGAGAATACATCATTACGTTGTAAAATCAATTGATTACACGTAGTAACAGTCGCACTTCCAAGCGCACTTTCTCTAAGTGCAACTCAAAAACTTCTTTATACATATATTTTATTTTTTAAATGCACTTCAGAACCCTGGTCATTTCTCTGTAGAGTTACACTTAAAAACACTGAATTCGGCAAAAAGCTAAAATTTAATGTAAACCTTCATATTACATACCAGTATTGCCTGAATAGTTTATAATAAAGGTTATTGAATGATGAAGACCAAAATACTTATATAAAAGGTATAAGTTATTGAATGATGAAATCCCAAATACTTATATGAAAGGTATAAGTTTTTTTAAAATCTTAAATTTGATCGGAAAAAAGTTTTTTTTATGATACCTAATTTCCATGACTATGTGGCAGCATATTTAAATATTACATGTTACGGATACGTAGTACAATAATGCAATATTTTTCCGGTTAGTGACCATTTGTTGCATCTAATACATAGGCAGAAGTTCATCTGATTGGCTAATAAATTCAATTTAATTTTACACTATTTATATAGTGTCAGAGGTAAAACCGACATCTCATGGAAACTGCGAAATGGACGTCATTGTGGCATACTTACCTAATTAGAGTTGCCCATGACGATCCATCTGAAACATGTGCGCCCGGCCC